AGACTGTAAACTAAGTATATATTCTAGAAAATGAGAGACCAAGTTACGGAAGGTGCAACAATGAAAACAAATTGAAATAAAATTGACGGCAAAATGACTAATGGTAGATTATGCAGATAGGAAATGCATGCTATCATTTGCAAAACCTGGTTCCCTGATCGACTAAGAGGGCAGAGAGAAGCACATAAAATCATCGACAGCACGCTTTATTAATCCATTTCCTGCCTCTTTTTGTAAAAGCAGAAAATGCCGGGATAAAAATATTCAAGTAAATCGTTTGGGAGAATGAAATATCCGTGTCTGCAGAAGGTAAAAATAGGGAAAGATCCAATAATAGTGAAAGTAGGCCAAGTTTGCCGCGGATTTTTATTTTGTAAAAATCTATAACTCCCAAAAGGTAAAATCTGGAAATGGATCTGAAAATAACTTTTTCATTTAATTTGTGGCCGAAGAAATTTTAAATATTGATCGATATATAAATTGGTTTGATAAACGTCAATGGGGTTATCTAATTTTTCATCAAACCTTCTTTCACTTTTGGCTTAGCAGTCGGGAGAATCAAATTTTTTCAAACTGGCTTCCTTTATGATGTCGCTAATTAATATATAACAATGACTAATAAGTTAGCCAGTCAGTTGATAATATCGTCCAAAAACCTCAGTCTATTTATAATGAAAACTAGAGTTATCTATAGCTAAAACTTTTTGTGCGCCACTAAAAATATATTTCGCCTGCTTGCCATATTTTGACCTTCGAAATTTGGCCCAGACTGATTTATAGATCTAATAGGCATTTCCTTTTGTCTAGAGAAGCACACATCTGAAAAAAAAAATATTTTTTTTGAATTTCAGGATTTTGGAAAAAATGTAGCCAACAATCAAGATGGTAGAGTTATTGAAAGTGGACTGGCCATATTTTGGCTTACCTATAGCTCCATTTTTATTTGATATTGGTGATAACATATATTATTTATTTCAATAGTGATACTAGTTTTTCTCTCTTCAATGGGCTTTTGGTGGCATCGAAAATACAATATGTATGTTCAAAATGCGTCGAAATAACACAAAAATAAGCCAAAGGAAGTTTTCGTATTTTCAATTTCCAACAACTAGCTCCAGTTACGCTAGAGAGTGAAACATTTTCAGCTGCTGGCAAAAGATATAATTATTTAGATAAATTTAAATCAGGTCAAGAAAAGTTTTATTTCAACTTGGAAGAAAAAGTTTTCCAAGCTCGACTTGAACATGGAGTCTTGAGCTTTACCTACTTTTGAAGGTAAGCAGGAAAAGCTCTGCAATGTAATGCTGGGTTAAAATAAAACTTCTACAGTTAACCAAAAAGGCTGGAACCAGTTGATAATGAAAAAGTTACTGTTGTTGTCTGCCGTCAAACATGAAAATAATAATTTGACTTCTATGCAATTTTTAACCAAAATCAAAGGCACATTCATACCGAATATTATGTTATACCTAATACTACAAAACGAACAAAAAAAAAAAGAAAAAAAAAAAAATATCTGAAATGAATGAATCATTATCCTCGACTTCCAAATGCTGTAAAAAAATAATAATTAAGTTTCTATATTGAAACTAAAATTCATACCCATGATTGCTTTCCCACCTCTTGCTGTGTTTTATGAATGCAGAGCAGAGCGGCTTTGTATCTCCTCAATCTGGCACAGATTTGGTGTATGAAGTATATTTTCGAAATCAAATAATATTCATCAATGGGTGTCTTAATTTCAAAATTATATATGCCAGAAATAGTTCGCTCAAAAACAAATAACATGGCGTTCATTAATTACATGTAAATGAATGGGGTTTCAACCAGCTTTGTCCTGGAATTTTGCCTCATACTAATTATTACTGTACGTCTCTGTTAATACCATGCACCCAGGAACAAATAAATAAACTTCAAATACAGCAGAATAAAGTCATGCGCATTATATTCGGCTTTAATAAGTATACTTCAGTGGATTGTATGTTGCAAATACTGAACTGGTTGAACATTGGGCACTGGGTTGAAAATAATTTCGTTACCCAGGTATTTGAAATTATATTTAGTCATGAATATTAGTATTAGATCTAGATAAAATTTCACAGTTCGGCATGTGAAAAGAGAAAAGGATTCATGATTTTAATGCGTTACTTGATCAGATCAGAAGCGCACCTACCTCAAGAGTATTTTTGCTTATTTTCGCGATTAATTTCTTTTTATTTGATTTTTGAGCATCTTTCTCTCATCCACAAACTAACTGATGTTACATGGAGTTCAGTCATATACCAATCTAGTATTCTTAAAACCCTAGCCGGACCCGGACGTTGTGTATAGTTTTCCATTTCGAAAAAATCGCGGACATATATTTATAAATAAAGAGAAATGTACATTTTCAAGGGCGAAACACATATTCATACAGTCAAGTCAGGAAACCGCTCTATGCGCATTCATTGATATAGAGAGAGCTTTCGATAATACCTCACATCATTCCATAAGAAGAGCGGCTAGAAATAAAGGCTTTGACGAAACTACAATTGCGTGGTTGCCATGCTTGAGAATAGAAAAATCGCAGCAACTATTGGAAGTGATTCTTTAACGGTCTCCGCAGTCAAGGGATGCCTCCAAGGGAGTGTACTGTCCACACTGGGTCCTTATTCTTGAAACAGCGGAGCAGCGTTCCCAGGAGAACGAGAGTTACGTCCCGCTGGAACACGCTTCCAGGACAGGCGAAATAATTCATCTCGCCCCAGTCATTAAAGGCAAAAGAAATGGTTGACGGATCTAAAACTGCTTACAGGACTCCTTACCGGTCACTGCCCTCTAGGTTACCACCTGGAAAAAATGGACAAAACAGAAGCAGACCTATGCCGCTTCTGTGAAGAAGCCTCTGAGTCTGCGGAACACAAATTTTGCAACTGTGAGGCATTGTGCCGCAGAAGACTCGTCTATACTTAACGGCTGGAGTGCGTTTAGAAATGGAGTGTAAAGGTAGAGTCGTTGTTTGTCATACAGTGTTCTAACGTCATCACTTGGAGTGCACTCTGAACGTATTGGGGCGTTGCGATAAATTGTCAACGTCAAACCCGGTAAAAACCGTGGGGCGTTTTTCAACCCAGTCCCTGAGTGGGGTAATTTGGGCGCACTCTGGGCACGTCAACTCTCGTTTTCTGAACGATTCCAGCGTAACGCTCCGAGTAAGCACCTGTTAATTTATGAATTGTTTAGAGTTACTTTAGGGTCACTCCCACACCCAGAGTGCTATTTGTAAACGCAACCCTGTGGATGTGAAAGAAGGCAATCCCAGAAACATTATAGGCTTTGCTAATTGCCAAAAGCGTTAATCTGGAAACCCACTAGATCTAATCGGAAGCACATAGATCTAATCAGATCGCAATGCGGAGAGGTCCATAACCTAAACACCCCAACCATCACAATCTACAATCTCCCCGTGTCAATGTCAAAACCATCGCTTTCATTCCTGTAGTGGTTTTTGACAAAACTGGCGAATTCCAGTGATGGAAAGAGAACTTGACTGATCTAATTTGGCTTACAGCAGTTTAAGGGTTTGAGAGTCTTTTGCCAATAATTCCGACAGAACTGTTACTTATTAAAAAATCTTAATAACATGTCTACCTGGAACATTTCTCCGTAACTTCACTATTTAAACAATTATAGCTTGCCATATATTTAATTGGAAGCGCGTCGATAGTAAGGGGTGCAAAATGATGGGAACACAAAACTGGATAATGAAATTACAAAAAAGGCGTGTTTTGAACATGTTCGTTTCTTAATTTGAAAGGAGAAAAGTTATTGCCAGAAAAATTGAACTTCCTTATTATGCCTGAAGTTTTGGTTTTTTCCAAATTTTGATAATGGTGATTACGGATAACTGTGAATAAATAACTGAAATATAGAAGATTTTCTGACATCGGAAATAAATTATCACATAATTTCCGTGTAAAACAGCGCATGCGTCGAAATAGTACAAAAAAAAAAAATAGGGCAAGCGAAATCCTGCTCTAATTTCCAATAGCTGTCGTTTCTCGACACGGATAAGGGCGCAGCCAGTAGGTAATCAAATTAGGGCGCTCTTATTACTGCCGATCAGTATTTAAAATGTCCAATAACTCTTTTAGTATAGTTATTTTATAATTTAAAACTTGTCAATATTGTATCAGCTTCCATTACAATCATAATATTGGAAACTTTTATATTGTACCCGAAGAAAAATACAATGCAATTTTCTGGGATTTTTATTATTGATGTTGCTGACTTAAACCTTGTGCAGAATCTACCTAGGTTATTGTAAACATGTACAATTATGTAAAAACTAATATTTTTTTATATACAAAAACAATATGAGGAAAGCTAGTTTCCAATTATTGATTAATAAACTCAATTATCTTTGATATTTGCATTAAAATCAATTGTAATAGTTCAGTTTGATGGTAGATATACACAATTTTGTCAAAAACCATTGCCAATCTCTAATATGTTTACTATCAACACAACCATTTATCGCCATCCGGGGTAATCCAAAGGCACATATTTAATCTATTGCTTTCGCCGTTTATATATAAAATCGATTTCAAATCCTCAGCGTTGCCAGACCGTGGGAAAATTTCCAGACTTTATAGCTACACGAAGTCGGAAAATGTCTTTCAATTTGAGAAAGTGACTCTGTCGAGTTGATTTTTTTATCAGGTATCCTACAATATTCAAATGGAAAGCTTTTTGTGTTAAGAAAACCCTCTATAAATTTGTTTTTTTTTTTAAATTAACTATGGTAAAAGAAATGTTTGTCATTTAGTTTTCGATAATAAATATTATCGTAACATGTAAACAAAGTATATATTTAGATTTTTCATTAAGGAAAAACTGATAAGAATGGAATATGGGAGTATTTTTGTCATTAATTCTTATGTCACCGTGCTAACACATCATTTTATTTTATTTTCCTAATTAAGTTTAAACCTTTTACTGATAAATTTATTTTTTTCCAGATTTCCGAACGGGTACGATCTGAGCCTCCTCATTTATGATGTGAGTTACATTTTTATAATTTACTACCGGATATGGCATACAAGCTTGTAAATAATTATTTATAAGGCCAATGCGGTTAATTGTAACTGAACCGCAGAAACACCCCCAAGCGATTGCCCTTAATCTAAGTGCTACCTACTAGAAACTGTGATGAGGATGGTTCAACGATGAACTGTTTAATCTAAGTCTATGCGAGAGGGCGAGATAATTTTATTAATAAATCGCTTCTGTACTAACTAAACTAAAACACACTTCGTTTTTCAAGTGTCATCAGCTATAGAACTACGGTACTTTGACTGATATTCCTTCTTGCTTTTTATGATACAATGCGAGCCAAAATCAGAGTAAATATCAAAAGTGGAACAAGAAATATTTAGACCAATTTTTCACCTGTTAGAGAGCACGTCGTCGTAAAATGTACCATATTTTAGAAATCGTTTTTTTAAATATTTTCCGATTGTTTACGTTTCACAAAAGCGCTACCGTATATCCGTATTCAAATGTCCAAATGGCTAAATAGATTTTTTTTGTTGTTGTTCGTTTGATGCTAATTAATTAGAGGATTTGTGGATTAACGAATTGCCGAAGTGAATGATTTATGTCTCAACCGGTACCGGATGAACAGAGAATCTTTCAGCACATTTAGTAATGGTTGTTCAATAGAAACACCAAGTTTTATTTGATTTAAAACAAGTATCCATTAGCATTAAGGTAGATTTAATTTTCGTTATAAATGTCAATTGGCTGACCCAAGTTCTATTGAAACTCAGGGAATGAATACGTAAACCATTAAAATAGAAACTTTTAAGAAATGAGGTAAATCCGCATTAAAAATGAAACTGAGGAGAATGAGAGAATCCCGGTCTTTTAGCACCACAATAAATTGAAGGAAAATGTTAGCAAAGCTTCTTTTTGGAACAGATTTACAGAAAAGCGAGACAATAGAACTGTGGGAAGGAAATGCGGTTTAATAACACACAAATAAATAAAGAATATACAATATTAAAAAGTCCATTTTCTCGCGACTAATCGTTTACTTATAATTAGGTATAAACCTACTGTTTTATTTCTTATAGTGGATGACTTAATCAGGATCTATCATCATAGTACGCGATCACTCGATACCGAGTATGATTATCTTCTATTCTATTCTTATTGTCGTCGATTGTACGTTTTCTGATGGCTATATAAAACACTTTTGGAGCCGCACACTCTTCCACAGTCTTGGCACACCTGCTAGATGGTGGGTTTTGTCTCTTCCTCTGTTATCTCGCTCCTTCTTGCGGCCCCGCTTCTCGGTCTCGTGTCTGCGTCCATGTTCTTCAAAAGTTTATGGTCCATCGTGGACTACTCGACGCCATGAGGACCTATCATTTGTAGTCGTCTCCCAGTTGCTGGTATCGATGCGGCACCTTGCCATATTTTTCTTGAAAACATCTTTGTAGGGTTTTTGCTGACCTTCTTGTTAGTTACCTCATATCTGTCGTTCAAACCATTTTTCAAATGATCGTTAAAAAATATTTGGCAGTCAGAACATACGAGATAACAAGATGGCGAAAAAACATATTTGTTAAAAATTTCAAATTCTAACGAACTTCCATTTATTTACATTTCCAGAGCAGGACAAAACGAAAATAGTCGTAGATAGCACTAGACCAAACGAGAAGAACCGTGCTGCTGACAACGGTATCCTATTTGACTGACCAAAAAGGATACCAAAATCACGGTGACGTCATGATTTTCGTATCCGAAATTGGTTGGTATGCATTTGACAGACCAAACAGGGTACCAAATCATGTACCAAAGCTTGCCGAAATCGTCTCATAAAATTTTATATAGGCCTACAAATTGAAGAAAAAAAAAACGAAATATTTAGTATAGGCTTTATATAATAGGAATGCTTTTTTCAAAGCTCGCGGCTTTTCTGATTTACATTTTTAGTTAAAGTGAAGCCGAGGAAAGGGAACATGAAAGAAGAATACCGATGGCGCGGTCGTAATTAAACGTCCTTAGTGCGTATTTCTTTAAACTCTCTATAATCGCGAAGAAAATAACCGCTAGAAAGAACCGTAACTATAAAACTGAATGAGGACATTACATATTCTAATTCTCCATGGGAAACAAAACAAAAAAGTGAAACTTTAGTTATGTATTTAAATCACACGGCATTGCGCAAAAACCTTTTCTAGGTGTAAACCACAAAACTAACTTTTGATTAAATTCCATAATTTGATTTCAACTTCAATGAAATTACACAAAACTAATTCGAAAATATCCCCAAGTTAGCCAATTACCATTGGCAGTTAAAACTCTCTTATCACCTCCAATTACTTGCCATTCAAAATTTAACAGGTTCAGCATTTTCTCTCGGATCTATTTGCTAAAACTTTGAACAAAAACGTTGATTGAATCTCGGCTTTGATTGAATTTTCATTCTGTTTTACTGTTCCATCTCAACACAATAGAGTTTAAGCGTTTATAAATAAACTTTTCCCCAGTATTTTCTTCTTGTATCAAAATCCCCGTGAAAAGAATCAAATTGGCAAGCATTCCTGTTGAATTTTCTTTCAGTTAAATTCGAAGACAATTCGTATTTTATCTAGTGGCCACTCGCATACGACATCAGAAATATTATGAAAGTTGTCATTGTAATAATAATAATGTATATTGTACTATTCATCATATTAGTTAGGTTAGAATCACAAATTGACGCGGGTTCCCAGTTCAAAAATTAATACATTGATGTCTTATGGGGACTCAATTTTAAAAGCGTCTGTAGACGTGATAGAACGTTTGTTACGGAATTGAGTTGTATAAATAATTTTTTTTAATATGTTAATTAACTGAGAAAGTGTTCGAAAGTTGAATAAACATTGTTAAAATAAAAATATTACCAATTTAAGAAGCCGATGTTTGTATAAAATACGTATGTCGTTGCTTGATCCATAAATATATATTATGAGTACCTAATTATAATAAAATAAAAGTTTACCTACATACTTGGTTAGTAAATGTACTTCAATAATCCAAAAAAATTGAAAAATAAATGACTGAACTAGTGATAAATAAATTAATAAACAATTCACCAACAATCATAACACAACACACAACCTCACTTTCTCTCAGCTGGTTTTAGACCCGACGTACGTCCACCGAAAACAGACACTTTTAATTAAAATCATTTGTATTTTTAATTCATAGGTCTAAAAAAACAATTAGAGCATGAATTATAGAGAAATATGTTCAAAGTTTGACGTACAATAGGTTCCAATACTAAGAAATGCCCAGAACCCAAGATATTCCCGTCTGAAAATCACTCTTTTGAATCCCCCATAAGAAATACATTGCTGTCAAATTTGTTGAAATGTGTTTAGGAACCCATTTTAAATTTCGCGCCCGATTTTTCATAACCTAACTAATATGGTGAATTATAGCTACTGTCACGGCTCTGGGTTGCCTGACAGAAATCTTGGGTTCGTTTCGTTTATTCCAAAATCACAGGCATAATTTATTCCAAGTAACTATACACTTTGACACTAAGTACTAAGTCCACAACTAAACTCTTAACAACTCGCAACAATAATCACTATTTAAATCGTATCACAGTCAAACTTAAATTTGAAACTACCGAGTAACACCGGCCTTATATATCCCTAAATCTATTCATGTATAATCTAGAATAAACGCCATAATCTTATTTTTCTGATTAAAGTAGAATTTACTAGATTATGGGAATAAATTTCTAGGATTCTAGGCAGGCTGGCGGATGCGTCGTAACACTGCCCTCCTCTTAAGGTTGATCGTCCCGATCAACTTCACGACCATGATATTTCGTTAATCTGTCTAGATGTACAACTTTCATCTTACTCCTGGTGTTGCTTTGGACTCCATAAACCAAATCATTGATCCTCTTGATTATTCTGTAGGGTCCTTCCCATGCTGAAGATAACTTCGGCGACACTCCTTTCCTTCTTGCTGGATTTTACAACCACACTAAATCACCTTCTTGAAATCCGGCCAAATTGGCTTGCAAGTCGTATCTGATTTTCATTCGGTCACTGGCCAGCTGAATGTACTCCCGAGTAAATTCGTGTATTCCCAGAAGTCGTGCCCTTACTTCGTCCGCATAATCTCGAATTTCTTTTCGCTCTTCTTCGGGTACTCCAAACATCAGATCGCAAGGTAACTTGAGTTCCCTTCCAAAAACGATTCTAGCCAGACTTTCACCTGTTGAATCGTGAACATGTGCTCTGTAAGCCATTAATGTTCCTCTATGGTCCTATTGAATCGTTCCACCATGCCATCAGATTGTGGGTGTAAAGGTGTTGTCCTTGTTTTACGAATGCCCATGATCTCACAAATTTTCTTAAAGATGGCATATTCGAAGTTTCGTTCCTGATCTGAATGCAACTCTAGTGGCACACCATGACGACTGAAAACTTCGTTCAGTAGGACCTGGGCAATCGTGATGGCTTCTTGATTGGGAATAGCGGAAACTTCTGGCCATTTACTGAAGTAGTCCATGATAACCAAGATGTATTTGTTACCACGCTCTGACTCAGGTAACGGTCCGGCAACATCTATCGTTATTCTTTCAAATGGGAGACCGACGTTGTACTGTTTATGCGGGTATAGCGTCAGGAATAGAGTCACTTCCAGGGTAATTTACACGATCGGTTAAGTCTCTTCTTGCGATTGTCACTGTTTGCACTGACTAACTGTCCCAGTGTTAAATTACATTTTTTTGTAAACTTGTTTCTTTTATCAGATTTCTAAAAAGATAGCGCCATTCGTCCCTATATTTTAAATCGAATGCAAAAAAGAATCTCCTTAAGAACCTTGGGAAGGGTTGGCTGTTGGTTCCATAATAATGTGCTAGCATGAAAGGGTCTAGATGAAGTTAGAAGCTTAGATCTTGATCTTTTCAATCCTCTTCCGACTATTTTTCTTTTTGTCGTCTGCCTTCTCCTTCCTGTGATTCTTCCTGTTGTCTGTCTTCT